TCCAGGTGTCAGCCAGTGGGTTCTGACTACATTCACGTAAAGCACTCAGCGATGCTCAACCTTTAACTCTGCCGATCTGAGTTAAGATGTCTCTCTGAGCCCAGGCTGCCAAAGCTGTTCAGATGAGCACAATTTATCCCCTTTCACAAACAAACAAACAAACCAACCAACCACAACACAAACAACTCACACACCACCACTATTTAAACTGTGACCCATTCATGGATTTGCTCCACCACAGCAAGGAAACACTGAAATCCTTCACATTTACCCCTGTGCTGAGATGAAAGGGTAAGACCCTTGGTTGGTCTTTTCCATACTTTACATGTTCCAAGGTTTTTCTTTAATGAGTAATGATCTCTTTGGAAGGATATAAAGCATGGATTTCCCTTCTCTTAAAACAGAAAGAGATACTTATTAGAGCATCAAACACATCTTGATGCCTAAGGTAACCCAGCTGCAGTACTTCTGCCTGTGCCTTTCAGAAGTCAGCACAAGACACGGATCTGTCGCTGTGGTGCTCTGCAAATCCTCTTTCAAAATATACTGCATACAAAATAACAAAATAAGCAGAAACTTATATACGTTAATAACTTAAGAACCTAAATAAGCTGCTATTTGATGTGACCTACATTAATGGGGAGGCATTACACGGCAGATAAGCAGAAAGTTCTCTTCTATTGTATAAAACATGATTTATTCATGCCATAAACATATTGAGAAAAGGATATGCTCTGGCATTCTTTCTACTTATTTTTCCCCACAGAAGAAAAGAAAAAAATCATGTAAGAGGATCATGCTGGTGAGAAGATATTCATATCACAACAGCAACAGACTTGGACTGCCAGATCCTTCTTTATGGTTGAAAAGATATAGAAAAAAGCACATAGATTGCACTGTGGTGCACCCATAATTCTAACTACCAGCCTAAGAGTGGAAGCAGTTCACAGAAGAGGCTAATGGCTTTACCCTGACTGATATCATTGCATTAATAAAAATCATCAATAAAAGCATCAATTCCTGCTGTACTGTAAATGAGACAGTGGCTGAGCGTGCACTGCAGCTGCAAGATAAGGCACTAGAAAGATATCTAAATTTTTGGCTAATTCTAGATGTCAAGATAATTGGATTTTCCAAATTAAACCTTTCTGTAAAGAGGATTAAGGTTAGGGATGGTAGCAGGAAAAGTGACTGTCACTGTTATGAAGAATTTTTTGCTACAGTGCCATTTTTCTTCTGTGTCTGCTCTAAGCAGGCAAAATGGCAAGAGCTTCATAAAAATATTGAAGTAGTTATATCATCTGCCATTAAAAGTTGGCATGGGAAGGCTTTGTTTCTTGTGCTTCTACCTAGTCATTTTATGAACTCTTAACAGAATTTTAGTGGGTGTTGAAGGGACAGTATAAGATTGTTTAGGCTAAGGTTTAAGTTTCATTAAAAGGTCTGTGAAATGTAACGTTACTGGATACGGTAGAATGTAAGGATATTGCAGAGCCAAAGTCTCAGAAGAGAGAGGTATGTGGTGTTGGATCAAATATAGGTTTAAACCCTTGGTCAAAACAAAGTTTGTTGTTTAGGAATGTCTTTTGGTATTTAAATTATCACGATGGTGGTGTACATCCCTCAGACCTTGTGAAGGCTTGTGTTTCATGAAGGAATTAAATGGTATTTTAATAGAAGTGCTGACAATATAAATACTCCTTGAGATGCTTTGTCTCCAGATGGTTTCTCTGCAGACTTTCTCTAGTTCCCCACACTTCCAAAACAGAGAAATAAACCACCTGACATAGCAGGGCATGAGTCAGTCCTGTAACTACAGAAAGAAATCTTCCCTTTCATCAGATTACTCTGCAGCCTCTTGAGTAAGTTTTTTCACCTTCGCTAAAGCAATAGATTTTGTCCACTGCTGAGGTAAACCACCAAATTGAGTGGACTCATGTCAGTCACAGCCCTTGCATTATTGTACATTGCTACAGGAGCACTTTCATACAGTTTAAGGTCATCTCAATGATTTCACTTTATCTAGCTCTGCTGGAATTGAAGGCTGGAGTGTAGCACCATGTGAAGAGAGAACATTGCTGAGCTCACTTGCAAGATATGCAAAAAAAATTTTTTTAAAATAATGTTTCTTTATTGTCTGTATCAGTTTAGCAGCTACCTCCATACTCCTGAAAGAGCCTGACATTTCTTCCACTTTTAAGGTCAGAATAGCAATGTACTCAGCAACATCCTCCCTGATACGTATGAGAGGACATTGCAGAAAGGGCCTTTCAGAAGCAAAGACACCAAAAAACCTGCAAATGGGGGGAAAACAAAAGAAAACCAAACCAGACCAAACCAAACCTATAGTCCTGTCCTTTCTAGAACTCTCTTGAAAGACCATTGGAGCCCTTGCAATCCTCCCCATAGTGTGACTATATCTTGGGTATCTGCACGGTGTTCAGCACAAAAGATGATGTTCTGTAGGCACGTTTGCTTCCTGGACGTGTTGCCAGATACTCATCCATGGGTATGGACTTCAGTGCATAAAGGTTTAAGCAGAGAAATCCTTGGGGATTTCATCGTATAAAGTTTTCTCCTCGAAAGTTTTTATGGGCTGAGGCTTTATATCCTTAAGGACTTTACCCCATAAAAATCCAAGAGGATAATAAAACAAACAGCATCTATGTCCACGGTCAGTAGCTTGGGGGAAAAAAAAATGCTCTTGGGTAATAATAATACCTTCAGTAACAGTATTGACCAGAACCGACAGATCTATTATTTTCCCCGTTGGCTGACATTTTGCCATTATTGCCCTCTGAGCTAGTCACTATTTGCATGCTGTGCAGAGTAGCCATGGGTACATGGCAATGCAGAGATATTATAGGGGTGACTTTGAGCTGTTCTTGAGGCTGATAAAGCCAAAAGTGAACTTTGCAGGCAGAGCACAGAGCTTGTCTAGTCCAGCCACTCACATTTTCATCTCACTGCCTCATTCTGTGTGTTAAATCTGAAGTGTATCAGTGCACACAAAAGCACATTCACATGCTCACATTAATCCAGATTAGGAAATGGCTGCCAAACCATAAAAAATAAGCAAAATACCCAACATCTCACACAAAATGCTGACCTAATTCTGTGCCTGTATTTACACATGAAATTCAGTAAAACTTGAACAAACAGGGCTCTGCTTTTTTAAAATGTTCCTTGGAAAGCTAGGTTGGTACCATGGTTTTGCTACTGATCCTCTAGGGGCCCTGAACAACAAAATAATTAAAGTCCATAGAAATGGGAAAACCTAAAATCACTTGCCTATAAATCAGTGTAGGCTGGTAAGTGTTCCCTCAGGGAGGAGCAGGCGCAGATCCATTCATGGGCCCTCAAGCTCTTGGCAGGAGGACACACTTGCTATTTTCTGGTCTGATACCTCCCAATTTGTGTCATGAACCATGGATTACATGGCTGTGCCCGTGGAAAGCTGGAACTCCTCTTCACCAGGGAGAAAATTTATTACTGCCCCACGTGGTCGTGGTACTATTACATACATTTGAAGCTTGTTAATTTTCCAGGGTTAAATACTGCCCACTCCAGACTGCTCCCATTCCAGTAACACAGGATAATGGGCTGGATAATCTAAAACGTAAATAAATCCCCAGTGATGCCCTCAACATCTAGGCAGAGTATTCATTGTAAGAGCACTCAGGGTGCACATACGGGAACCTATCACAATATCTGCTCAAAACAATTAAAGCATTTCTATAATATTTCTGCAAAGCCCATACCAATAAAGTGTATGGAAATAAACTGGCCTAAGACCATATCAGAGGACCCATTGTCTAAAGCCATTAAAGAGAAGGACATAGATACTTAAATAATTGGCACTCTCAGCCTTCCATTCAGGGTTGGTGGGAATAGTTGTCAGCTAAACAAATGCCTCACAGAGGCACACTGTGTCTCGGATAATTTTACATAGGTGGAGGATAGACTGGAGAACAAAAGTATGGACTTGTCAATAAAACACCAAGCTAGTCCCATAATGATACCTTCTGTGAGTCTCTTCAGTGCATCTGGGAGGTTCATACACCTTGTTAAAAAAATATATATGTCCTTTCTTCTCATGCTCTTCTGACCACCTCTATTAGCTTTGTGTTAGTATTGTCACTATTAAACACTCCTACACTTTTGCCAAGACACATTAATGAAGTTTTGCAGTTCCCCCAGTTTCCAGAAAGGACTGCCCATGTCAGGAAGACAAGTTCTTGTTTAGCAGCAGATGCAGTCGAAGCAGTGCTGAACGTGGTCTTACCCCAACCCCAACCCAGGAGGAGCTGAATCCCAGCCTTCCTTGCCCGGACCGAGCAAGGCTGTTTCCTGGCAGTTCCAGCACCAGTTCATTGGGGTCCACTGAGTGTGAAATCCACCTCTCTGCCCAAGACCAGCACAATGCATCACTGGAGTCATTTTTAAGGGATTGCAAGGTCCATAAGCTTCATGTTGCCCTCTGCACAGGAGTGAATTTTACTCTTAATGCAAATGGTGTTTAAATGCAATATTTTAAGACTAATATTCCGTGTAGGCACAGTGTCTGATTCATGCCAACCCAAAGGGTAATATGAATGCTTAGTATTGTTTAACCAGCTCCCAAGGACTGAATAAAACCCGCAGATGAAAGATGTGACCTTCAGCGAGCATGGAATCTCTTTTTCTTTTCATCTCAAAGATAATTTATCTAATACTTTTCCCCTCATTGAAGACTTAGGCTTGCTGCATTGAAAACTGTTTACAAATGTTCTTTCTCCATTAAATTGATTTTCTGAGTATAGATAGGCAGTGTTTTCTGGAACTAATTTAAATTCCCCTCTAATTAATATTCAAGACCAAAATATGTTATCTTTGCCTGACTGTGCAATTATTAAAGGGAAAATATCATCTGTGAAAGTAATTATTTTTCTTTTTTTATTTTTTTTTTTTTAACTAGCCATTAACCGACATGAAATGTATCATTTTATTGCCTTTTTTAGGCTATGATTGAAGAAGCCATCACTGCAGAGGTATCTTTTTCGGTTATGTACACACCACTTGTGACAGAAGTCAAGGCTGAGAAAATAAACAAGATAAAGAGCATGTTTGCAAAATACCACCCTGATTACGTGGAGTACATATATACAGGTAATAGCAGATTTCACGTGCTCTGAAGCACTGTATACTGTTTGTGTATGTGTGGCTGACTTAAAAAGAGTTTGAAAGAATGTGGAGCTTGAGCTCCAGATTTTTCTAAACTTCTGAGGAGGAAAATTAACTTTTGAGATTTGCTTTATAATTAGACATGATTTAGGTAATTGAAACGGTACTCAGGAGAAGTACAGACTTTACACTGCAAAACCCCATTAAGATGATTTTTATCCATGAATCCCATATATCCATTATTGAATTTCATTATTGCAACTAGTCTTTTGTTCAGAGGTAAGATTTACATTGTGTTGTGGTGACAGCAAGACCAATGTTCACTCCCATCTCTGTGGATTTCCCTCGGTCACCAGTGGTCATCCCTGCAGCAGGGTCTTGCTTTACAAAACTATCCGCCCTTCTACAAGCACTAATGGATTGACCACCAACTTTGAGAGCATCTCAGCTGCAATTTTGAGAGCATCTCGGCTGCAAGGACAGGAATTAACAGCTAGGTTTCCTTTAGCCTGTTGAAAACATGTATGATCCAGAGTGAACAAGGGCTTTGAAGAGCTTGTTGACATCTTCTGGGAGAGTGAACTCAAATAGCATCTCCTGGAGTAAACAGATGGTGAAATTCTAGTGACCACAGCCTTATTTCAAGAGGAATGAGCATGACATATTGTCAAAAGAGAGGCAGAGGGATAAAAGGCATTTCTTACTATGGTTAACCTGGTGACCTGGAACACAGTTGACTCTGATAATGCTTGGCTTTGAGTTGGTGATTGAGAAACAAAGAGAAAAATACATTTCTCAAGTCAAATTCTGGAAAGCGTCCGTCTTCGTCACGTAAACTAGATGTGTAGCTCACCCCTCATTGCCACTTCCAGCAGGTTGGCTGGAAAGGCTGAGGTACTGCCTGCTCCCTGCAGGAGTTACACCCAGGTCAGAGACAGTGAACTCATGCTTAGTCTTTAGTCCTTGCACCTTTGCTGGGCACCAGCACTGTGCAAATAAAAATGGTTTCCAAAAGGATACACATTCTCTCCTTGGGGACAAAAAGAAAATCTATTCTAACAACACAAATACAAATTAGGAAACCAAATGTTTACCACGAAACTTCAAATTTTTAACACAAGTAAACTTGCTTTGTTCATTTTTGGTTTGCTTTAGGAAACCAGGATAAAACTAGGCCATGTTTTGCTAGTTGCAGACAACCCATGTATTGGATTTGAGGTTACAGTTTCTAGCAGTAACTTTGGAGTTATTCAAAAAGGGAAAATGCGGACTTGCCTGTCATGGAGCTTGTAAAATCCCTGTCTACAATTTACTTGCTGATGTGACTTTGTGGAGAATTTCCTAGGAGAAAAGCATTGGCATTAAAAGCAGCTAAAATAAAACTCCCTGAATCTGATTTTTAAAAAGATAAATTCATCCTTTATATAAACCCCTCAACTTAAGGCAAAGGTGAGACTTTCAGGATCACATAAGCAGCAAAACTGTGCAAGTTTTGCACTGAAACTCAGTTTGCATTTATAAATCATTGAACGACTCTGAAAGTATCACCAGTTATCTTCTTACGCCTCCCAATAAGGAAAATGAAGAAGGAAATAAAGGGGGGTAAAAGATCTCAGTCGTATCATACTTTAATCAATTAGAGAACAGATTGAATAGAGCCAGTTCTGCCCTCAAATGTGTTTGTTTACAAAAATCTATCAGTTAAAATTATTGTTTGAAGTTTACACAAGTTTCTCCAAATGCAGGTTCTGGGATCATAGAAGTTCCTAGGAATTAAATGGACTACATAGCCAAGAAAAATCAACATGGGTATCGGGGTTTGAGAGTACAGTGTGAGAGGTCTCATGCAAGCAGGACCTATCTACACCTCCCTCCTTTCTGTCCTGGAAACCCTCTCAGACAGAGCAGATGTGGCTCCTTTTCCTAGACTTGATGCTGAGATAACAGTTGTGTTAGGTGAAGTCAACCAAAGCAGTAGGGGTTTCTTAGCTTATCTGTTCAGATCTGACCTAAAAATCACACTGCCCACAAAAAAAAACCAAAACCCAAACCCACAAAACCTCAACAACAAACCAAACAAACAAACAACCCCCCCCCCACACACACACACAAAAAAAAACCACCACCACCAAAAAAAAAAAAAAAACACACACAACACTAAAAAGACCAACACAACAACAAAAAAACCCACAGCCATCACAAGCAACAGCTTCATCAGTTTGGTACCACTGAGCATTCAACCTGCAGGTCTGTATCTCACATAGGTGTAATTAAAAATATGAGCTAATCCCCATTTTAGCAGTGGGTGTGAAATACCAGACATCTCACGAACATGTTTTTTTTAAATAACCATCCTCTTCTGTCACAATCATCCATCCAATTTGGCCCAAATTCTACCAGAGTATAAGGACTGAATTGATTTCAAAGTTTTCCTTACTGCCAAGGAAAAGGAGTAGATACACATTTAAATCCGTGTGCACAATGCAGTTTGTGGTGAAACTGAGAATCCATCAGCAGCAGAATATGCTGCAAGGGAAATATCAGGTCCACTCGCTTTGATTTATACGGGGGTAAGTCCGGAGAGCTCTGAGCAGGGTTCTCCATTTGTCACTGTGATCACACAGCCTGGCACCTTAAAAGCAGAGCTCGCTGAAAACAGAGCACTCCTTTGTGAAAAGTGACACTGACATTCAATCTAGGTTTATTTTTTGCAGGGGAAGGGGAGGGAGGAAAGGACTGGTCTGGTTCCCTAAGCAAAGGTGGTTTATACCATTGCTCTGAGCATCTGTCCTTGCCGAGGTCAGGGCAAACCACCCCAGCTGATACACAGGTTTTTTTGGCAGCAGCAGTCACAAACTCTGGACAAGCCACAGCACAGGCTGTCACACACCAGCTGGGTGGGTCAGGAAGGACATGCTGGAAGCCTGGGGTTATGGGGGTGGTGATGGCAAAAGCACAAAACTGTAGGAAATCAAACCACACAGATTCAGGGAACAGCAAAACAGCTTCTTTTGCAGTTGAAAGATCAGGATGTGATGTTACTGAAGCGCTGAGTTATTAATGCTTTGGATGATCAGCACTGAAAAGTACATAAATAGAAAGAACATTTTTTTGTCTTATGCACCAGCAAAATTTAAGCTCTTGATGCAAAAGGTAGCACAGTCTGGAATTCCAAAACCCAGTTACTGCTGGGTGGGGTGGTTTGGTCACCTTTGTTTTGGCAAACTTGCTGGTTTACTGGTTTACATTTCACTCCTTCTTAGACTTCCTTTTTTTTTTTCCTAAAAAAAAAAAAAAAAAAAAAAAAAAAGTAACTTCTCTTACAATTGAAAAGAAGTGTGACAGTGGAAATTCTTTTCATTTTCCTATTCCAGATCCTCATGGATATCACATCTTGCCACAGACAACTAAGTGGCCATCTCATCCTCCTCAGAAGTACTCACTGACTCTGGGTTTCAGAAACAAACATATTGGAAAAATCTTGGAAAGGTGGTCAAGGAGAACACTGCCAATCTTTCCAGGTATGCCGACTTGCTTATTAGGTAGGGTAGCTCAGGGGTGACCCCCATGGTGGGGGTTTCTCAGAACTCATTTTTCTGTACTGGCAGCCCTGACTATCCAGGCAGCTCTCCCCATCCTGCTCTCCCCCTCCAGTTTACCAATCATCTTGCTAGAGCCTCTATGGAAAATGTTTATTCATAAACACAGTCTTTGATTGTGTGATTTCATTTCCTAGACCGGAAAACACCTTTCAGTCCTCTCACAAAGCAAGATGCAGAAAGATATTGGAATAACACTGGGAAAAGGATTGTGCCAGTAATTGATATTATAAGAAGCACCAAATTAGTTGTGAGTATAAAATGCACTTTCTGGTGTGTGTAGGTGTATGGCAGTAGAAGTCTGTGCACGTGTGAACGACGTGTGCTTTTTTGGTGGGTAGTTCATTCTGCACATGCTCCTCCTGTGTCCAGAAGTGCTCAGTGAAGTGCATTAGGCACAGAGTTCTAATAGCTTTTAAATACTTTTTAAAAGTAGCCCTAATTATTTAACAATGTACCCAGTTTATTCAAAATCGCTTTGTGTGCAATTTTCTCAAATCTTTATTGCCTATTATATTATAACCCTACTTCACATAACCACCGAAACAACTCACTATATTTAATACCCATAGCATACTACACATATCACCAGGATCTCCAACAAGAGTTAATAATCACTCTTTGAAGCATTTCTAGTGATTTAGATCCTGATCACTGTGTGGTGAAGTATGTGAAATAACCTTCAAATCTGTTGCAACCATATTGAAGGTATATTAGTTAATTCTAGTCCATACTTTCTGCAATAATGTACACAGTTTTTTAGCACTGTGGCTTTTGATTAGCACAAAAGGTCAAAAATCAAATTTGCATGTAGACTAGACTGTTTTAATGCAATTCTTAAATTATTCTCCTCAAAATAAGTGGAAGAAGCCTCTCCCCCCCAGACTGTAAATGCTAATGTTAACACTTTTCCCCTAGCAATAACAATTTTTCAGATTTCTGTGTGTGGAAGGAATCAGAGCCATTTCCTCATCAGAGGTGTCTTAGCAAATCACAGGATTTATATTCTTAGGTTTTGATACCAGATAGGAGGTTGACAAAAAACTGCTACTTAGCAACCCCTAGCAAGGGAGAAACATTAGCTGGATATTTGGGGAAGCTGTATCTCCTTTACTCCCAAAGAGCGGCTGCTGAAACAACAGTAAGTGCTTGAACTCACACGCTTAGTGGGAGGTAAAGGTGCTTAGTGCTTCACCAAGATGGGTGCTCGTAAAGCCTCTGCATCCACATGAGGCAGGTGGAGCAGGCTGAGGGCAGACATCCCCAAAGCAAACAGCTGTTTCTTTCCCCTTCTTTCCTGAAGCCAGGTGCTGTTGGCTTTGGATGACCAACAGCCCAAGTTACTGATGTGCAGACTAATAGAAGTGGCATCTTTGGGAGAGTGAAGCCTCTGCTATTGTTGTGTGCATCACCCTTCAAACATTTAAGAAGCTAGCAGTATAAACAGATAGTGGGTTGGGTACTGGATGCAGCATAAACCCCTGGCCTTTCTGAAAGCACCAGCAAAACTCCAAGTTTTTTTTTAAAAAAAAATTTGACCCCACAACTCTCTCTTTGGGTATAACATAAGTCTTTTAGAGGTGAGATTCTTCTATTCCAGTTATTCAGTCTCTAAAGAGTATAAGGAAGAGAAAAGACCTTGAAATCGGCTATCTTTTGGATTCCCCATAACTACCCAATTCTGTAAATGAACTCGGAGGAACAAGATCACATGGTTCAAGCAGAGATATCTGTTATCCAAGGTATAAGGAAAAGTAAACAAACTCGTCAAGTAAGAGATGAGAGCAGAGTGGTGTTAGGATTGCTCAGGCCAGTACTAGCTGTATGAATTTACACTGCTCCTACACAGTAATATTTCCCACCAGGTCTAGACCTTACCTCATACATTTAAGTATTCTTACTGAAACAGAACAGAGCTCCCAAAAACACAGTGAAATCCCAGCACCACTGAAGTCAGCAGCAAACTTGCCTTTTTTTTTCCAAGGAGGTCAGCACAGCTTCCCATGGTTCAGGCAAGGTCTATCCCAGTGCCACCTCCTGCAGCAGCAAGAACGGGAGAACAGGTCTGAACCACGGTCCTACAGATCTATAACCAGCCACCACGGAGTCAGTACGGGAGCTTTAATGGAGAGGAGGAAAGCCCCAAGGTAGAAGAAATTATCACTGAGTTAGAACAGAGAGCTGCCAATTCCACATCTGTTATCCATGGAAGCACATTCACTTCAGTTTTCACCGCGTTGAATGATCCAGGCAAGACAGAACCTCTGACCCAAGGAGCAAATGACAAAGCCAATTATACCTGATAATACAGATAGGCATGGAGCCAGAACTGCTCTGCTACTGATTAAAACCTCTTTATGGCCCTGGCAGAGATTTGGCCACTTTTGCTTCCTTGAAAGTGTTCCAAAATTTTCTTCAAGCTGGAAATATGATTCCATTGTATTTCCATGACACACAAATTAAATTAAAAACTTCTGCATGGCAAACTTCGGATACAGACTCTAGCTGTACAGCTTACTTTGAAAAGCTAAAAGAATATATTTGTTTCTGGGTATAACAAACATTCCTTTCTGCCATCTTCTTCATGAAAGATGCAAGCATACAACTCAAATGCTTGTCCTAATCAGATGATTTTTTCTTTTTCGAGAAAAACATCTCAGTGCTAAAGCAGAGCTTATAAGCCCTGGCAACACTTAATATCAGTGCTGCCATTTTTGACCTTTTGTACTAATCAAAAGCCACTGTGCTAAAAGACTGTGTACATTATTGCAGAAAGTATGGAGTATTACCATTATATGCATAGTTTTTCAGCTACACAATTATATTTTTATATTTACATTTTTTTACTTAATTATTTAATTATATGGTTTATACACGCACCCCTGTTGGTAAAACGTGAAGTTAAAGGTTAAAAAGGCAGAATATTTTCTACTGTACCTCCTCTTCTTCATAAAGAGCATCCAGTCCCATTTAAATCAAGGGACATTTGTGTATTGTAAAGCAAGAAGCATTTGAGAAAGAATGTCACAGTCTGGTCCCTGCACAGCATCATCTGTTGCTGGTAAGGAAATGCCACAAACCTCAACTACCCAGACATACACACCATGACACAGAGGTTATTTTATTTGCCTTAAAAAAAAAAAAAAAAAAAGTATATCAGTCAGACTTCCATCTACTGACATTCCAGTTAAGATTACCAGCATGCACAAGTGGTTATTCTATTGAGTGATTTCACTGGCCTTCTACACACCAAGTTTGCCTTTCTTCTGCTGTAGTCCCACGTTGATGGCACATGATGCTACTTAACGGGAGAAACAGTGGCCAGAGAGGCTTGTTAGACTGCTCATATTATAAAGGTGAACAAAACCTACCATATGATTCACAGCATGATGTGTACATTTACAGATTTCACTGCTTTCTTGTCTATTTTTTATGTGGAGGGACAGAGTTTGCTACATACAGATTTCAGCATCCACATTTTCTGGAGGATACCAAGGGCATTAAAGAAACACTATGATGGATTTTTTCTGTTTGTTATTGCAATACACTACAGAGCTGCTTGCAAGGCATAACTTCATTCAGATTTTGAGCTGAAAAATAGTGGTAAAGGTTCCACAATAGAACAGAAGAACTACTGGGGGACATTCCAGACTTTTGCAGAGTAGTGTTCTTAAATATGACAGTTAAACATGCCACACATATTGGATATGACAGATTCTGCTTTAAATCCAAGCTGACCAGCTTTTCTTTTTCTTTAGCACACAGCAATTAAACTTTATTTCTAAATAGCAGTGGCATAAGGCATGACTCCTCCTTTGATTATAGAGGAACACAAGAGGTGGGGGTATCATCCCAAAATTCTCAGTACATGAAAGGGCACATGATTCACTCCTCTCACATGCTCTTCAGCTCCTTTTTCAAGTGAAAGCCTGTCCTGTCTTTGCTCTTGTTGTTAATTCTGGGTATTTAGCAATAACAAGTAAGCTCCATCCAGAACAAGCCAATCTGCTTTTTGTAGGTGCTTTTTCATCCCGGGTCAGAGGAATGAGGGTGTCACAGGGCTGGTCCTCAGGCATCCAGACCCTTTTTTTCCTCCTTTTTTTTTTTTTTCCCTCTTTATTTTAAAGGGAATTTGTGCACTGAAACCTTTTCTGGGGAGGACTCCTGCATCAGGCAAGACTGCCCATTATGAACAAAGTCCTCAAGAGAAAATTCATCTGTTACTCATTTTCACTTTTACTGTTAAATTCTCCTTAGAATACCAGACAATAGGGGTGAGACCCATGCAGAAAGTAACTGTATTATAATTTAATCACATATTGTCTTAACACATTACTACATTTCTAACTAGTATGCAGCTGTGACTCCATATACTGCATTTGCTTGTTTCTTTGCTACTTGTTTCCTTAAATGTGTACTTGTTCTCTTTGTTAAAGGCCTCTTTGCCACTGAAGTCTCCATTCAAGTTTGCTTTTTACTTAGCCTCCACTGTGCCTACCTGAGTTTGTTTCATCTCCATCTGATTGCTTGCCCACTTTATTATGTTTTTTACTGCAGCTTAGTAGCCCCTTGAATTCTGCTATAGTTCATGTAATTCTCATCATGTGGTTCAGCTCCCTGTAGAATTTTCTCTCCTGTCAGCAGCAGCTATTTACTTTCTCTTTCTGCATTTTTCATTGTCACTGAAACATCACCTCCAACAACGTTCAACCTCTTCTAATCCCTTAAAAAACAAACAAACAAACAAAAAAACCAAACCACACACCACAATGCTGCCAGTTATTTATTTATTTACTTCCAGCCTGCTATAAACTTAAATAACATTGCTATGTCCACAGTGCATGTTGGCACAGATGCCCAATTTGTTTCCCATAGATACATGGCATGCTTTCATATTTGTCTGGAGAGTCAAGCAGAGAAAAAATTAATTTCCTTTTGCCTTTACTTTCTTAATCATTGGAGAAGCCCCCAACAGACACAGCGTGATGGGAAAGGATTTTTACCTGCATTCTTAGCTGATGACTCAATATACTCATTTCTTAGTGCTTACGCAAAAAGGTTTTGGGCTGATTTCAAGAATAGCAGGAATAGCAGGGGAAAACCTTTTGCTGCATCTAAAACATTGTGAGAGTATTTCACGTTGATAAGAGCTCTCTTTCTCTTTCATTAACTGATTGCTTCTCCTTATTTTAATGCACACAGCTCTACCTGGGGACAACAGCTCTCTGGCCTTCAAACACAGATGATCAGGTGGAGAGGGGCGTCCATTTCCCTCCTTGCTGTAGTGCTACACTGCCTAGACTGTGTCAGACTTAAATCATCACACATCAGAGATAACAAGAAATCTGTTTTCTTGATGGTGTCTCCTAATGATACGAAGTCAGGTCCTCAGAAAATTAGTCTTGAAGTGATAAAAATCGTTTGCAAAAGGGTTGCCCTGGTCTCCCTTCTTAGAGGTGGGTCAACAGAGGTTCATAAGGAGGTAGGCCTGTAAGAGCTCTCCTGGCTCCTCAAGTCAAATCACTACTCTTATACACAGTTGTGCAACCTGATATCCTATCCATAACTTGAGTAAAATCTATCTTAGAACTAGTTAGGTTTTCTGGCCCTTCTACTCCTGGTGAAACACACTGCAGACCTTCAACCTGCATTGTAAGAAGCTTAATGGCTGCCTTGGTCTTTTTTGTACCTATTTATAGACAATGGCCCTTCTGTTATCATTGTCTTTTATCTCTCCTTCCCTTTTCACTTGTTTGCTCTCTGTGGAATTTAGCCCTGCTTTATGTTTATTGAGAATAATAGTAAGCTCCTGGCATTTTCATTAATAGACTAATCAAACCACACTTCTCTCAAAAGAGGTATCTCCTACCGTGCTGGCTTCTCTGCTCCATGATGTTGGGGTTTAAATTAACCTCTCCAAACACAGCTGACTGGAGTATCTGCAATACTCCAGAGAACTGCTGACCAGAACTCCTTTTCTCTGTGCAATGCTTGATTCTTTCCCTCAGCTAATGGAAACACCAGTTGACTCAGCTCGGTCTTTTTTCATTTGCTTTTGTACCTGAAGCTTCATCCCTCCCATGGCTAGTGCATGGTGTTTTCTTTCATATTATTTTACAACTATACCAGGTTAATTTGCATTTTTCTAGAGTTAAAAGAAAACTAAGCTTTCCTCCATTATTCTTCTCGTGAGTTGTATAGAAAGCAAGGTCAGCATTGTTCAATTCTTAGACTTGGTACAAGAACTACATCATTCTAGTCATTCTGATAACACTTGATGCTTGCCTAGTGCAAATTTCTACAAAACCCAGATCAAACCAAATTACCAAGATTCTTTGCCAAGACAAGTTAATTTTAAAAATGGGACACCATTTATTGAAAAGCAAGTGTCATTCAAATCTTTCCTTTCACCCTGCTCAATATACAATTGGACCTAGAATCACCTACCTGGAAGTGTCTGAACACAGCAGCATCGACATGTCACCACATGTCACTGCCAGAACAAAGGTCTGCTAAAAATACTGGAAGTGGTTTCGAAAACTGATGCCAGTTCTTGGAATTTTTGGCACTTAGATACATTCAAAACCCTGATTAGATGAATGGGAATTTCACTCCGAAGGGCTGAGCATTCAGATATGCAATGGCTACATCTTATTGGGAATCTAGGCCAAATTGCTTTTGAAAATCTCAGTAGGGTGCTTATTTGCATTTTTGGCATCAGAATACTTTTGAAAATACGATGGTGAGGCTGCCATCTATCAAACACTTCAGCAGGTGCTGAGATTTTATGCAAGCACTTGGCTGAGTTTCTGTGTTCAACATGCTTGAAATTTACCACGTGCCTAGCTGCCTGGAGGATCAGAGACTACCACCACAGGTTTCAGTCCCTCAAGGTTATATATTTGAAAACAATAGGTTTGCCTAGTCTGCAAACAAAGCACAAGCTGACACACTACACCGTTTCCTCACCCTCTTTCACTGAAACTTTAAAAGCAATCTGTAAGAGTCAGGTAATATTTAACAGAAAGGATTATGGAAAAAACATTTCCAAATGAGAAAATTGCATTTATGTTTGGTATCTGCTGTCCCCCCTTCACATATATTATGAATACGTATTTATTTGTCTAGTATTACTACAGAGATTGTGCCAAGAAAGTATTTTTTTCTTCCTCTCCAAAGATTGTCAGCAGCATTATCTTAAAGGTGCTGGATGCCATATTGCTTACAGCATTACTATATATACAAATATAGATGATAATAAACCTCAAGGCTTAGGACTCAAAGGATAAGTGTGTTTTCTGTGAGACTTGCCTAACTGGCGTGCTTTTGCTGAGGGAACAGGACGACCGCTGCCCGTGTGCACGTGGGATAGAGAAGCTGCACTACGCCAGCCTCCTTGGCTGCCTGGAGAGAGCTGAGGAACAGTCCCAAGTGATTAATCAAGCGATGGCTGAGCTAGCAACCGTTCCCTACCTGCAGGATGTCAGTCAGCAGGATGCCAAACTGGTAAGTATTTATTTCTAATACCTGTTTTGGCCTTCGGAGGCAGGGAGCCAGGCGGGGAAGGGCTGGGGCAGAACACTGTGCGGCAGTTTGCTCTGAGAGGTGGTTTTCCAGTGTGTGGACCTGAAGTAGCTTTAAAATCCTACTGCAGTGCTTTGTCAGAGGAGGTGCTAATCACCTGCAAGGATGACTTTCATAGAACCAGCATGACTCATTTGTAGGCATATTTTTAAAACCTCTTCTTTTCCCCCAGACCTCCCCAAATCAGCCTGGGAAAATGATTGCAATTATTCAGATCATGCTACATTAAGATATCTCACATCAGAAACCACCTGCAGCAAAACAGAACGAATCTAGTTAAAGCTGAGGAGAGGGGAAAGGAGAGAAAAGATATTCCTTCCTGGCTCCATCTATGACTTGCTCCCTGTCTCTGAATCAACCTACCTACCTGCTATGCTTTTGTTTTCTCTTTGTAAAATGAGGGCAGTGATGCAAGCAGAGCTGTTGCAAGACTGGAGTCATTAATAGCTTGAGAGTATATGAATAAGCTGCAATCAGAAAGACCTATATGGATATTCTTCCACAATGCTGTTGGGTTTTCTGAGGGGGGATGGAGGAAGCTCACATATGTGCAAATTTTAAGCATTTCAATCTAGGAAAAAAAAAAAAAGTCCCTCCACGGTCCCCACATTTAAATGCAATCAAATTTTGAAGATCCAACTTCGGCTCTCTAAAAATTCTTGGTTTTTCCAAAGCTACTCCCTTGACATTTGTTTGCAGTCCTGCAAAGCTCCTAAGCTCTATAGAATTAAAGCTTCAGAGCAGCTTGCTTTAGGGAAGATGAGCAGCGGCCTGCAACTGCAGGAGGTGGTTGCCAGACTTTGAGGTCTGGGCTCAAGATAAGGGCAAACAACATTGCAAAGGAACTGTTATTAAAAGACATTCTCCTTTGGATGCACGTTTTCTGGTATTAAACTTCAGCGGGTCCACATTTCAAGGCTGGCTAAAGGGTCTTGAGTTATTGGTACATATTTCAGTGGTAGGTTTTTCTCCAGGGTACAATATTTTCAGTACATCACACGTTAGGCACAGGCTATGACACTGTTGCCAGTATCTTGTCACGTAGTAATCATGAGTCTAACCTCCATGGAAAGCTTTTCTGGGGAAGCTCTGGGCCATCCAAGACAAAAGTCTTCAGTTTCTTAGGGGTAGGACTGGGCAGAGGAAGGGTCTGTGCTAGGAGATTTAAGTGACAGATTGTAAATCTTTCAATAAAACAGATATCCTTTGTTTACTGAGCTCAAGATGTTTTTTAAAAGAATAAAGGCACAAAACCTCTAGCAGCTACCCTGTCCAGAGCATTAAAATGTATTAATTCAGCATTCATTTATTTTCCTTTGTCCTGTCATCCTGCTGTAAAATATATCTTCAGTCTGTGTGCAAACAGAGGCTCAGATGCTTTGTAGCTAGAATATTTTAGTACCACAGTGTTAAGGCACATGACTGCAAGCAAGAACTTGCAGAGTGACTTCACCAGAGAGTGATTAATGGGCTTTACCTTTCCTGGTGGCACCAGCCCACATGGCACAGGCTTCTTTATGCCAATAGGGACCATTTCCCTACCACATCACAACTGCCTCAAGCACAGAACATTGCTGCCCATCACTGGCTCTGCACACCCAAATTGCCCAGGGAATGAGCAAAAGATCCTCACTTGCTCAGCCTTCGTGTCATCCTCCTCATTTCACTGGGATCTAGGCAATATGAAAGACTTGCAGGATTGGGCTGTACTGGTGTGATCGAGCAGCTCTCAGTTGATGCTACTGAGGCAGCCCTCCATGTCCATGGGGTCAGAATCTCAGCACTCATGCAGACTCCATGTGCTTCTAACTCTTCAGCAGCATTTTGAAGAGATATCTAAATTTTTCCGTGAAGAAAACTGAGCTGGCCAAATTCTAATCTCACTTATACTAATAAAAATTTAAAGTAATTCCTGTGAGGTCTGAGTTTACATTGGTAAAACTGAGATAAGACTTTATGACCAAGCAAGGCAGTTAAACTGTGAATTAGAAAAACGCTAAGGATGCCAAATGTTTATTATCACATACAGTATAAGTTGTATAAAGTTTAAAACACACTGAATTTATAATAGTGCAATTTGCACTGATACAGCAAGGATCCCAAAGGCATTTCAGTTATAAACTCTTCTGTGTAAATGTCTTCCTGTAACTAAATAGAGCCCTAATCTATGGCACAGACAACCTCAGCTGAGGCCTTCTTAGATCAGTATTTATTCATAGACCTTGGGAAAATAAAGATTTCAGTTTGCTTGAACAGTTGAATATAAGTGGGGAAAAACCCTGAAGAAAAATCTTTCCAAGGTTTATGATTTCAATGTCACTGTATTTGTACCTCATAAATCAAGATGAAAGCTTGTTAAAAAAAAGCAGAAATATATTTCAATTTAAAAATCAAATGAGTACAAGATTTTTTATAAAAAGCAGCATTTTTTTTCTTGGAAGGGATTTTCCAAAAAAGACCAGCTTTGGGAGAACAACTGTCATTTGCCAGCTGCCTGCTCTTTTGGCACGCATATTTTGTCTGCCAGCAGAGCTGATGAAACATTCGGGGTTATGAAAATTAAAACCAGAGCACACACTGGGCACTTTTCACTGGTATGTATTAGTAAAACATTAATTGGAAAGGTTTCTTGTTTTCATTTCTTGCCTAAAGCAGTAAAATCTTCAGCCTGGTTGGGCTATTGGAGTGGCCCCTTAGGGGTGACAGACCCATGTCCTGGTCCCTGCCCCAGCGGGTGCTGTTCAACTAGTTCATCAGAGAGTCATTCCAAGAAAAATAATGGAGAAATCCTCCCCTTCCCCTGACCAGTTCCTCCTCTGCCTAGTTTGACACAGGATCTGTGCTTTGCCCATTCTGACCTTAATACTCTTAATCTCTGGGCTGTGTCTATTCTGGATTCATAGAAGGAGATGATCTGTCATAAAAGTGTTGTGATGGAAAATTTCTGACAGGTTCTTGACTCTTTCTACATTAAAATCAGAGGCAGAAATCTGCAGTTTTGTTTTTCCATGAATACTGATGCATGACTTAAGCTAAAAGTTTTCATCAGATGTTTGAACCAGTAAGTTCCAACCTACTGGCCACACAAGCATAGAAAAAGCAGGTTTAAAACAGACAAAATTAATTTATTTAGAGATTCAAAAGAAGATTCCTGCATCCTTGATCCAATGTTGGGACACAGACAAAGAATTTTAATTTCAAAAGCCTTGACACAAAGATAAAGTTGAGGAAATACAGATCTGCGCCTTGAATCTCAAGGCAGCTTTTTTATATCTTGTTCAGATGGTCCTAAACACTGATGTTTCATCACCTTATGTACTGATATGAAACTACTGCCCATCCAGGTACAAAAAGAAGAGAATTTCTCTATGAATGCTTATACTTATACTGTCCAGTTACTTGTAATGAGTAACACATTTGGGAAGAAACACCAAAAACTACCATGTGGGTTCACTTTAACCAGCTAAACGTTTTGGAATACACCTAATAAAACACAGCAATATTACAGGTATTAAATATTCATTTTTCCCAGTCTGTTCCTAAACACTGATGCCAATGGCTGCTCCCAGGAGGACACCAGGAGGAGATCCCAGGACCTGACCCTGTTGCTGAATTAAGAGCAACTGAAACATATCCAAGTGTTTGGGAAGGGTGCAGGGTGAGGCAATGCTATGACTGACCTGGAAGGGTACTGGAGTGAGGCAACTCTACAACTAACCTGAATTTTAGCCTTCCCTCTAACAATAAAGACTTATTAGCAAGTATTTTCCTACAGCTTCTTTTTAGAGTTTACACTAGAAATTGTCAGCCTTGTTTTTATGCTCTGTTATGCTGAACGATGGTGGGAAGGGAGGGTTTGCCAAAGAAAAAGGATAGTAAAAGCAGGCAAAATGAGCTAGATACTTCCAGCTACAGTAAAAGCATCTCAGCTTTAGTGTTGTCCTCTTGTGAGGTTTTACATGCTGCTTTAAATTATGATACATTAGCCTTGGGAGAAAATACTAAAAAGCATTCATGTACAGCACAGAATATCCCAGACAGCTAAAGGATGAAATATGGAGCCTTTGTTCTTTACAACCCCAGTGTCTTCCTTTACTAAGTTTAAGCATTTACTGCATTAAAAGTATAGGCTTAAATACAAATTTTCCAGAGGATTTTTTCCTATTGTTAAGTATATCCACAATAATACACTGTAATGGCTGAAGCAAAGATGAGGTGGCAGTGCTCATTGTGTGAAAGATGAGTAATAAAATCATCAGCGTACAAATGATTTTTTAATTAGGTTTTAATCTGTGTATTTAGAGAAGTTATTTCTGTGTGAATTCCACACTGATAATTTTTATCTTGGTGCCACAGCTGCAGTCACTAATGGCAGATGCCATGGACACCCTTGAAGGAAGAAGAAGTAGTAAACGACGTGTGTGGAATAAAATTCAAAAGGTAAAAACCTGCAGCAAAGGGCAGGACAGTATATTGTTCCTTGGGGATTAAATGTCCACCTGAGTCCTATCTGTTCAAAAGGTTGAAAAGAAGGTAGGTGCCATTTGAAACCTGTGTGTCTGGAACTGTGTCAGAGCTCAGGCACTAGCCACAAATACATATTTATTACTTGCTTTAGCCCCTACGGTTGATCTTCATCCATATCAATAATCTCATGTGATTATCTAATGGGGAAAAAAACCACATCACAGACCTCTCCAAAAAAATCCCTCCCCCCCAAGAAAAAAAAAAACAACACAACAAAAAAAAATCCTAACAGCCTCTTTCCAACACTCGTGAGGCAAAACAAAGGATAAATATGCACACCACTTTTACATTGCCCAGGATAGCCTCTAAATCTCGCACACCAGCCTACAGAGCACATGAGAATCTTTTGCAGCATTAATGTTATGTATGATATGAATTATAAGTATGTAACCATATAAAAATATATATTTCCTGCTTCATATGATAGATGATGCAGTCAATTATATATTTACAAATAGCCTATTCCCTGTACTTGTCCAGCACTCATCCTTCCCATTTTCACACTATAGACTTAAATATCAAAGATAGTTTTCCAAAGTTTGTCCAAAACTCAGGATTTTAATCCACAGTTAGATGTTTGCATATCCAGCCCAATTTTAACAACTCTGTACAACCACAGTTCAGAGGCTGTTGAGAAGAGATTATGGCTGAAAGTTAGGCTAGGGACACATATCTAAATATTTATTAAAGGCTCATTAAAAGTTTGGTGGTGGTACCAAAAAGATTTCCACATATTTCATCAGTGGCTAATATTTAATTTTAAATTCAGTAAAACAAAATATTTTCTTTCAGTATATTCATATTTCACTATTTCATATGCATTTCTCCGGACACTTATTTTCAGTATAACTTTAATGGAAATCAAGCTAACATTTTAAAATGGATGGATATCCCATATTATGCCATGTGAATCTGTGCATAATTCAATAGGAATAAAATTTACTGAATCCATGAAAATCTGCTCGCTGCCGTTTTGAAATTTAGTGTTTCAAAACTCATTTGCATTCAGAACATAGGTTTGCATTTCATTTCTGACCACTCAGCCATCTGATTTGAGATATCCTCTTCCAAGTGGAGTCACTGTTTGTTTCAAAATTTTTATAATATGGAAAAAGATTTTTTTTTTTTTGTCACAACAAAGAAATGAAAACTATCATCAAGTCATCAAGTATTTTGTTTCTACTGTATTTCTTTCCAAAATTTAATTTCAGCATATGCAGCATCTTCTCAGGTTAAAAATTCTTTTCAAGTAGAGGAGTGAGAAACACCCAGGGAGTTTGGGGGTTTCTTTGTCAGATTTTTTTTGTTGGTTGTCATTGTGGTTTTTTAATCAGCTCTAATTAAGAATGTTACACTAGGTTAAAGAAATCTAACACATTACTAAGGAGGATTAAATCTGATGATTAAAAATTGATGTGGTGTGGATTATCACATGTCCCTTGTGCTAGAACCATTTCGAAAAATTCAGTATTTCTCATTTATCTCATCACATAATGCTGATTGCTGGAGCCTACAAAGAACCTTCACACAGGTCTGGTTACAAGTTAGTTATTTTTATTTTTGCTATTGAATTAATTTACATATATTGCAAAGCAAAAAAGAGCATAAAGGAGTTTATACAACCAGCTATAAACGCAAAACTCTGGAAAAGTGACAGCTACGCTCCCACCAATGAAGTCTGGCTTTTGCAATAGAAACAGTTGTTGCACCTAATAAAGCACTCCAAATTTTTCCCTAAAGTGGCAGAATTACAGCAGTGACTATTTTCCAAATGGTTAAAGAGTCTGTCAGAATTGCCATTACAAACCATTGTTTGCAGAGTTTCATATTCTGGAATCAGCCATTAAAAATTCATTTGAGCAAAAATCTGACATAGAAGGGCACAAAACCTGACACCCAAACACTTTGCCCTTTGTCACAGTGGAGGCCTTATCAAATTAGTGTGAAATTAATCTGGGCAATTTTGAATTTACAGGATTGACAAAGTAGGAATGTCTGTGTAGCTTCAAGTGTTTTGGGTGCTGTGCTGCTCATCCAATTCACTGACAAATTTATGTTTTTAAGAGAACTGCTTTATCAAAGGGCCTAATTATTTTTGGAAGCTTTAAATACAAAGAAATGAAAAAAACCAACCTCATAATTAGCTGGAGAAAGGAGAACGTCACTGCACAGAAGGTGCCTCTCTCAGTACTATCAGCCTACAGACTCTCCATCCACAGGGAGACCTGACCCAGGAAAGCCTAGATTCCCTTGGGAGATTAAGAAACATCCTCCCACACAGGCTTTACTCAAGGACTAGATATCCCTGAAGAATGCCTCAGAGGCATGAAAAATGGTCCAAGTCAGCCTTCAAGATCCCAATTCTCAACGATTTTACCAACACTTTTTCCTTGCAATCCCCTGGATAAAACACGATCCTTGTATTAGCACTTGGGGGAAACAAACACCTGGGTCTAAGACCTTTCAAGCAATTAAGGAAGGGACTGACTCCATGTCTACTTCAAGAAAACAAGTATTCCTAAAAAAAATGTCATCACCTTATAGTGGTCAGAAATTCCCAGACTGATCTTGCTGGTGACCCTTATGAATGGGAAGCCCACCTAAAGTAGTCAATAGGAAATGTTATGGGCAAGAGCATGAAACCTCCTCTTTTTAAGTCTTCACAAGTGAGCAGAGATAGAAATGTGGTTTTGTGTACTGGATTTTAAAGTGCCAATTCTCAATTCAAATTACATTTGAATTTATAATTTTAACAAGACTGATTTAGCCCCGTGGTTTAAGCAGTGACCTCTGATGCACAAGGCTCAGCAGCAACGAACAGGAAACTTGCAAGAGAGATGGAGAACTAATCTGATAATTCAGCTCAGTCCCACAAAACTCTGTCCAGCCACTGGGTCTTAAGAAGATGGGAACACTACCGTAACAGCCGGGTCTGGCCATTACGGAGTGGCTTCTTTGCTGACAGAGTTACGATGATGTAAGTGATGTCTCATGTGGGACTAGCAGTAAAGTCTGGCCCTGACAACCTCAAGGAACTAGGACTCTGCATGGCCATTACAGGACTTCATAGCAGCTACAGACAGGCAGGGGGCATTAAGAGTGGTCCACACACAAACAGCAGGAAGGGTCCTGCTTCCCTCTGCGGGGCCTTTGCTTCTCTGCAGTCTTCTAAGAGAAACAAAAATATTACTTTCCTGTCTTATAAGGATAAATTCATGAGTAAAGTTGCACAATATTGTTACAGTGAAAGGAATTTCATTAAATAAATAGTTTAGAGCCTATCAATGCAAAACTTTTGGCATCCAAAGAGAGGAGAACTGTATAAGTGCAAGTACCAGTATGGCTCTACCTCTCCTGTAAAGATATTAACATAGTTCTACTTCTGTCCTCCATTTAGCCCCCAGGCTTCCATAGCAGTTTCACCAGGTCCTCTTATCATTTGAGCAGCCAAAGGAGAGACAAGAGTTGGCAAATAAACACTTTCCTCCACTTCCACATGTGAGACACTTCATAAAACCTTCACATCTGAGTTTACCTCAAGGGCATCACATACTTTGCAATTTAGATAAGTTATTATGCCCATCATTTGCTGAGCTCAGTGGAATGCCTGTTTCATAAATCTGAAAGCAGAGCAAACATGGATGAGTGAATAAAAGAACAGATGTAACTTACATAAGGATAAGTATATAACAAAAGCCACACTAATATATGTGAATATGAAATGAAGTAAAATTAGCCTAACATATTATATAATCTTTTAGCCAGGCACATAGATTTTCAGCAGTTGACCTCTGCTTACTACATCTCTGCCTTCTGCAGCAGCAGGGGAACACTATCTGACGAACTGTGCTCTTCCACTGACATTATCTCTTAATTGAAAATCAAGCTATGGAAAAGGGCCATAGACTTGCTAGGCTTTCGGTCAGCCAGGGGAGCAAGGAGGGAGATTCATGGTATGTTGATGGAAAGTGGACGTGTTGCTGAATAGTATTGTGCTGGCTACTACGACAGTTCTTTGATGTATATGACTTTCTGAGATCTTGTAAAGTCATTCAAGCCCATGCCACAGCCACTGGGAGCTGCACTCGCTCTCAGAGCATGCAGCTTTCAGAAGTTTTTGCATTTTGCTGCACTCTCTTGACTCAAACTTGGTTATTCCTGAATTAATAGAAGGAAACTGGCTGCTGGTTTATTCTCTTGGGGCTGTATTGCAGCCACGGGTTTCATGAACCCATGGACCCATTGTGTAAAGGGAGGGGGAAAGCAAAAGATGGGAAAGGATAGGAAAAGCACATGTTCTGGAAGAGGAGAGGAAGTTTAATGTGTGTAATGAAGCCAGAAAACTGCAAATGCAAAAGGAAAATAATGTTAGTGTCACTGATTCAGGTAGAATTAGAGTGAAGGAAACTAAAAGCAGAGAAACCAGACAAAAATGGAAAAAAAAAAAATTTGTTAGTGTTGACCAAAGATTGGCTTCGTGCTAAGATTAGAGAAAACTTATTAAGGCATTCTGGAAAGGATTAACTTGGAATCAGCGACAGGCTCAAGAGGGACAAGAAGTAACTGTGGCAGAGGTTTTTAACCTGGCACTGAGTGAAGTGTTCAGACCAGACAGAGGAAGTTAGGAGAGTGCATGAGCAGAAAATGAGATCTGCCCCATTGCATCTGAGACAAGACAAAAGAAATGGAGGCAACCAAAGAGTGCCATTAATAGATTCAGACCCACTGCAGAGACAATAAAAGCATGACAGCATTCATGGAGCTCTGCATGTAAGAGAGAAGTGACAATGGGATTTCAGCAGTTATCAATATTCCTGGTCCCTAAAATCAATTCCTACCCTTGTGAGTCACTGGTTCTTTGTGTCTTGCATACAAGAGAAGAAAAGATACCCCAGCAAGATGCTTACATGGTC